GATAGCGCGCTATCGTTCTTCGATAGCGCGCCCAACACTGAATGGATCCTTTCGTAGATCTATGACGTATTGAAGGGATTACATTATTTAACGTAGGTTTCATATCTATTATTTTAATGGAATCAACATGGAAAGAGATTTATAAAGATATGAACAATCCACATTCTTTTCAAAATGAGCAATAATTTCATAAACCGAAAGTCTGATGATTTTTAGGAACTTACGGCTGATCGACGATTTTTTGGTTGAAAACCGTCGATCAGTCACGACTGTTACCCCTTAGACAAATCTGATTACTGATTAAGAATTGATGCAGTAATGAGGGAGTTTCTTGTTGTTGTAATCAATTTCTCTTTTATGAATGCATTCACCGACTACTCTGGTGTATGTGTTAGTTTGGACTGAAATTGCTGCAAAATATTGACGTAGAAATGCACTGTTGCTCGGAAGTATGTGTGGTGTTAATATAACAGGAATCAGATGAAGTTTCAAAACTGCTGATGTGAGGGCTAATCCGTTGTATCCGCGATCGATTCCTCACGTTGATAGGTGAGTTTAGTCATGGTTTATTTGATCAGACGAATTTGTTTGCTTTAAAATGAAGTTCCTTTTTCTGACAACAATTGATGAACCAAACCGATGGAGAACTGTTTTCCTGCTGATGATGATCGTTATAGTCCTTTGGTGTGTTTCATTTGTCGTTCGTTTCAATTAGAAATTAGTTGCTACAAGTGCTTTGCGGGGATCGTGGAATTTCAGGGACCCTGTTCCCGAGCCGACCGCGTTTTCGCGGTCCCCGACTTTGCCGTCTCCAGCTTTTGCAGAATTCTCTGGATCCGTATTCTCCGAAAACTTTCAGGGAATTCCCCGAGTTTTCCCCGAAAACTGACGCAGTCAGATCAGGGCATAAAAAACGCAATTTCGGAGCGATTTCAACAGCAATATTCGCACCATTTTTTGCGCTATTAGGGACTCTGTGTGCGGAGTATGTGGATTATCCGATTCGACTGTTCGAGATGCTATGGTTGCGCTATGCATGTTTGTTGCTGCTGTCTGCTACGGTTGGGAGAATGATTGCGCAGCAACGGCTCAACCGGGAAAAAAGTCCTGCTAAGTCCCTTCAAAAGTTTTGTTTCCGAGAGAAATTCGGAAACGGAGACAAGATTGAGTTATTCCTCTTCATATACGACTACGAAATTTTGTACCAGTCCTTCTCCATCCCCGACTTTTTCAGTCCACGCAAGAGACTGCTTGCTACAGATAACGTCATCGATCTCAGAGGATTGATAATTGGGTCAAAAATTCGAGCGAAGTCAAGAAAACTCACTTAGCCATTCACCGATCTTTTTTTCGATGAGTGCTCTCGTAGGTGCCAAGTCTGGAGCATCTTCTTTTCGTGGTGGGTACATGTCTGCACAGTGCGCAGTGCCTACAAACACGCAAACGTCAACGGAACGTTCGGTTTCCATTTCAATGCTTCCCATGAACAATCAGAGAATAACATCATATACTAGACGTCTTCGACTGTGTATCTCTACTGCAATTACGTTTTTTTGCAGTTTACAGAATAACACTTCACAGTCATGCAGTAGATTCCAATAATAGATTTCAGAAGTGAAACATAAATGAATTCATGACTACTCTGGAAATCCCTGGTCACGTTCTCAGCCCTTCCGGAAAAAAAGTGTAAATCAGCCTTTGCTACGCGAAGATTTGAACAAAACAATTTCATTCCTATGGAAATTTGTCCAATTTTCTAGACAGAGTTTTTGTTTGGATAAATATCCAACAGTAAGCACGGAACGTTGATGAAGTTGACACGAAATGTCATATTTAATTCAGCTGATACTCGCAAGCTAAAATGAAACGGGAATGACGTAGTCGAGAATAATCTTATTGGCGACAATTTCACGAATGTTTCCTTGCTGCGACGCTGATGTCTCATGTTCGTTGGAATGCTTTTGATCATATATTAGCCGATGTCATTATTGCTAAGGACATTAATACGGAGCATTACTGCGAAAGATGCGGATGAAGATTGTACTCCTACTTCAGTACCCCAATCATCAATTACTCGCGATACCCACTTCGTCTTCAGCGCAAACGTAAACTGCATCCAAGAGTTCCATGATACACCTACCGTTCATAAGAACCGTCGTGACACTTCCGGTGCCATCGTATTTGCTAAGTGCATGCCACGGGTCAATATTACCGTTTGTGAAAAGAACATTCGTGCCCTGAATTTGGTAACTGATTGTGAGCAGTGGATAACTTCATTGGAAAGCGTATAAATGAAAGTAAGATACTGTCGGCGATGTCGTCAATGAAATGAGACTGAATCTTAATGAATCTTCGGAGACTTTGAAAGTTTAGAAGCTTTGGTGAATGTTAGAAAATAAAAACCATCAACGTTAAATGTTTGTCATGTTCCCTCACATTGACGATAAAGTGAAAAATGACGCCGACAGCAAGAGGAATCGAGACAGATATTAGTATCTGCGTTCCAAAGTTTTTGCCCGAAATTGAAATATCAGGTGTGACTAACGTACATGATAATATTCAACACCACCATAATAGTTGTGTGATTTTTTGTTGGCTTCGTAAACGAATTTTGGTGTGAACGTTGGTCCAAAAGCATCCCGGCATGTGTCAATGAAGAAACTGCAGAATAGTTAAGATCTCTTGGTTGTTACGATATTCAATTTTTGCCGGCCTAGAAGAAGGTGGAGAAACAAATCATGCTCAAAGAGTCCAAAAACTCGTCAATCGTCCGGTTGATAATCGTCTTATGTATGCAGTCGTGCGATGAGGTGAATGAACATGTAGATCACGTAAAAAATAAGTGCAGAACGATGGCATGTAAAATATCAACCGATATTCGAATGAATACTTCATGCTTAATTAACGCGCAACGGTTCACTCTTGATTGGCTGCACTTGTTGACGGTCCTAATCATATAGCCACTATTCAGGATTAATATGAAACTGACCCTTTTAGAAACAGCATCTAAAGTTGTACATAAGTCTCGTAAAATAACAATAATGGGATGGGCAGAGATGTCATGGAGAACAGAGGGAAGGGGTCTGTGGAAAACATATTTGACTGCCTGATCAGATGTCGGCGATTACCACCGCATAAATTTTCATAAGATGAATCGTGGTAACTTTTCAAGTGTTCATCACACCTTCTTCATCAATGGGCTCGCTTGAAGAGTAGGTACGTATTCCTGTCGGGATTGCACAGCATACAAACCCAGTCAATCTACTTCAGTTCACGGAGTTCATCCTTTTACGACATTTGAAAACGATTCTGTACGCAGCTTTTTATGCTTTCTCATCCCTTATCGCGAGCGGCGATGTATGCACGCCTTTCTATTGAGCATTTAGAATTCAAATGGACTTTACGAAAAGGTTAGCCTCTTTTGCTCTGAATATCAATAAGAGCAATTTGATTCCCGAAAACGCACTTCACAGGCGTCGGACCACCGAACATGTTTTTGCCGATATCAGTTGACTGGAAAAATCCAAATTCATTGCATGTTTGATATGTCCAACTGCGACTTGCGGCTGAAAAACATCCAATAAGGACAAAATATCATCGACTTAGCCTCACTTTCATGGAAGGGGCGCATCATATGTTAATGTCAGAAACGTAGATGGAATGATTGAGTTGTTATAACCGTAAAATGTAAGGTGCATCATCATTTAATGCAGGGTTTACAAACATTTTTCTCGCCCACACCCCTTAAAAACATTAAAACGTCCTCGCATCTGTCACAATATCCACTCTGCATTTCTCATCCACTTTGAAGGATTGCAGCGCGCCCGTCAATGTGAGAGTATAAAGGAATTCAAATTTGTGCTATGATTGGATTCAATTTATCACGCATAATTGGTTTGCTAAACTAGATAACAGAGTCATTGCAATTAAAACATCTAACATACACTTTGCCGTGATATTCTTCAAGTAATCAACATAATTTTGATAGCGATTATCAGTGTACTTGAAGTAACCATCCCAAAACGTCGCTATATACGCATTTACATCAGCCACATTTTCAATTGGAGTTTTCGCATTATTCACCATATACTTACAAACATCGTTTATTCCTCCACCAGTTGCATGCTTTCCCTTAAAGAAAGCAGTTAAATTCTTTATATGTATTTCATATATTTGAAGCCATTCATTCCATTACCGATCGGTGAGGTGAAGAAGCAACTCACATTAAATGTCTACATAAAATTTTGCGAGAGGAATTGTGATAATTGATAAATGAACGATCTATTAACAATATGAATTCTACTCACACTGTTATCGTTGTTGTACTGCACTGCACCCTGGAAGTTACCGTAGATATTGCTGAAGAAATTCTGCATGTCGACATCAGTAATCGTTGATCCTGCAGTCCATTCTGGTTTCAGTCTGCAAATTGAGCATAAGGCTCGTTGGCTGCACAAACAAGTATATCGAGGAGTTTCGTGGACATCTCTGGGCAATATCTCGATTCTTCCGGTGAGTAAACGCTAATGCAGTGGATGACTCAAGGAGGATGTTTCCGGAGAGTCAGGGGAAAGTGGGAGACAGAGATTTTTCTGGAACGGAATTTAAAATCAGTACAATAACGAAGAGGGCGACAGAAGGAGTGTTGATAGGCACTACCAGCACTACTCATCAGAATTAGTTGCTACAATTCAATGTCAGGATAGATGACCCCAACCCACTCTACTTTCTATGTGCGTTTCAACGTACAGGTTTTTGTTCTCAATGTGTCCAACTATAGAATCAACATACTGAGCTGCATGGAGTGAACGGATGCAACAAAACTGCTCTGTCTCTGTCATAATTAAAAATTTCTTCGCACGATCACATGGAAGAGTGAATGTGTATAAAAACTAGCGGATTAATTGCATCATAATTGAATAAAAGTATATCAGAGAATTCCTCTTCGTGAATAGAAAAACTTCTGAAAATATAGAGTATGATGGTTGTAATTAAAAATTTAAGCGAACGTTCTAACGTACGTGAATATCTTCGTCAAATTTTGACGTCCCTCCTGTGTTAACGAAAGTTTATGCATTTCTTCGAACGCTTTTCCGACGTTGTCGGCGCATTCCGGGTTGAAGAATCGTAACGAATTTGCAACAACGATTAAGTATTCTGGAATAGATTTTTCCTCATTTTGAATCTTACGCTTACTTAATCTGACGGTTTCATGCAAACGAGAACGACATTTCTCCAAGCAACTTGAAGTGACCGACCGTAAAAGTCGACTTTCGCTCCTATCGGTGCCGAGCTTGCTAATGCACCCACCGATAGTTCAGGATAAAATTGTCGGAACCAGGCGGAGAGCATTCCTGAAAGCGAGCTCCTTTAGCATTAGTCACTCATTACATAGTAGCAAGGACTGACGATCACCTCATGCGCAATCTGTCCGAGCTAATTTTCATACTTCAGTCCATTCGCTCCATAACAGCAATCGAAGAATGAGAAATCATTCCTACCAGGATAAGAGCCACCAAATGTGATCCACTGAGGATTGACCAGTTTCTGTCGTTTGTTCATGGTCATAATGAACTGAGCTAAATCCGCGAGTGCTTGTTGCGATGTGAGCCATTTGAGATTTTCAGTCGATTGATCTCTGTAACGATGATTGGATAACAAACTATGATTGCTGCATGGGATGAATTATATTATGGAGAAATTTACAAAAGATTGGTCAAAGACTGTAGGATTTGATCTTTTGTTAGAGATTGGAGTAAAAAAGGCACTGAGATTTGCAGAATTATTTCCTACTGAATAATCTATGCAACTGACGGAGTTGGCCAACTTTCTCCGTAGTAACGATGTTCGAGCATGTAAACAGTGGCACTGTATTTCCTCGCAGCTCTCATTATGTGCACTTCTGGATTCAGCACCCATTTTGTGTTTGCAGTTCCTTCGCCTCCGATCATCAAAAAATGAGGTCCTCCTGGTTTAGCATATTGTGGATTCATCCAATATCTCTGCAAAGTTGTTTCAAATCGGGCCATTCGAAAGCACGCTGACGCCACCGCAACGTGTTTGTTTGAGAGAATGTTTACGGAACTTATTATTTGACTAACAATAAGGGCAATAATTATTTCTTGATGATCGTTTCTCAGTTACTTATTTAAAAATAAGATTTGCGAGATTCCAACGAGACATCATTGGAATCTTCGAAGACATCATTCATAATCACCTGATTGAATGTGTTGGTGTTTGTGGCCTCGAAGTGATCAAGAGGCATAGTAATGGTTCCAGCGATGAAGCCTTCAGGATAAGCAACCATATCGATTGGTGCCTGAAAGTTTATCATTCATATCTGGTACGTATTGTGAATTCCGAATCGCATAGGAAAGGATTGAAGATGAATTCGAAATACTCACTGGTGGATCAACAACAAGTCCCCTCAGCGGTCGGCCCCAAATGAATGATTTTAAGTGTCCCGGTATCGTCTCCGTATGATATAATTCCTGAAAATTTCGCATTGATGTTAGGGATATGTTAGAATTAAGA